TTCTTATTTTGTATAAAACCTTTTGGATGTTTGAAAATGGTTATAAGAAGGTTTTAAACATATTTTGTGAGTGCTTTTGAGCTTGTGAATATAGATATATAAAGTTATATCCTTACATCGGTTTCTACCTATATTATACGCTAGTTTAGTGTTTCGACTTCATTCTTGAGAACCGAACCTTTGTTAGTTAGTTTTAGTCGTTGTGCCCACGCCTTATAGGGCGGGTTGAATAAGGCGTTTAAAAACTTTTCGGAGTTTGATAAAAACGGTATTGGCAAATGCGGAAACAATAAGTAAAACGCAAAAATAGAAGCGTTAAGTAAAAGACACACCAATTTTATACTTGTTTGGGAACTCCCTACTCTAGTACCTTAAGGCTCCTCCTTAAGGATTTCCGAATCCACTATGTCCCGGTCTCTTGAACTCCGTCAAAGCACCGCACTAGTTTTGGCAAACAACCCTTGCCAATAGGATTCACTCCGAGATTTTACAACGGCTATCTCAAACCGTTTACAACGAAGATTTAATGGCTATCTTCTACCGATCCCCAAGGATTTCAAAGCCTATCCTTGAACTTTTACTCAAGGATTTATACGGCTATCCTTAACCGTTACAACATGAGAATTTAACGGTTATTCTCGACCGTAAGAAAGTATGTTTGATGAACACAATCAAGGATTTTACACAACGTCTAGAATATTAAAATGAAGAACAAAACTTAGCCGATGTAGAAGGAAATTATACTCTCTCCAAAATACAATATAAACTTATGAATATGAGAGTATATAACTAGAAACACAAGCGCAAAGTGTGTGTATAAAAATCAAGAGATTAAGGCTCTCAAAATAGCTAAAATATGAAGGATTAAGAATAGAAGAATAAACACACTTGAAATATTAAAGTAGGATGTTTGGAGTTTTGTTTCTTGTTAGAAAATGAAGGATTAGGCTTGTATTTATAGTGAAAGATGTTAATTAGCCGTTGGGAGGTGATTAGGGTTGATTTAATTCAAAATCACAAATCAGGAACAGTAACCCAACCAGCACGGTAGGCCGGTACCGTCTTCACGGTAGCATGGTACCATGCATACGGTAGGGGGGTACCGTGAGTGGCAGTACCTCGGTACTGTGTTACCCAAAAATCCATTCGGCTCTGGCGGAACCTGCATCCAAACGGCAGGGGGGTACCGTGTCCACGGTATAGGGTACCGCACTGACGGTATAAGGTACCGTTTGGGGTCCTGTGTCACTGTCCTGCATTTTCCAAAATTTCATTAATCCTTCGTGTTTGAGCTTAAAACCTTTTAGATATTTGAAAATGTTTTTTGGATGGTTTTAAACATATTTTGTGAGTGCTTTTGAGTTTGTGAATATAGGTATATAAAGTCATATCCTTACATTGGTTTCTACCCATATTCTACGCTAGTTTAGTGTTTCAACTTCATTCTTCATAACCGAATCTTAATAAATTCTTGTTGTACCTAAAACACTTAAACGAACGTTTAGCTCTTATATTGTTTGTTAACATAAAACACGAGGCTTAGCAAACTAAGGCTAACAACCTTAATGGCTTCTTGTTGTATCTGAAACATTTAAACAAATGTTAGCTCTTATATTGTTTGTTAACATCAAAACACGAGGCTTAGCAAACAAAGGCTGACAATTTGTCCCATGAAGTATAACTTGTAGAGTTGAATTTTGCTCCATTTCACAAACAAATTTGAAAACCTAAGGTTGCTAAAGAGGGAAAGGGCTCCGAACCTGAAAATGAAAGGACTTTTAATGAAGAGTTAGAAGACAATAGCACTAAAAATCTTGAAGGCTTGGGCTAGAAAGAAAATGGGAAAAAAATTTGTTGGAAAGGATGAAGAATATGGAAGTGCAGCAGTAATGAAGATTTTGGAGAATGCCTCATACGATAGGCACTATCCTTTTCTATCATGATTGGATGCTTGAACATAAGGGGATCGAGTAGTCCCATGAAACAGAAGGAGATTAAAAAAGTTTTTAATAAATATGAGATTATGTGGTTTGGAATTCTTGAAACTAAAATAAAGGAGAATAAGTTTGTTGAAATTTAGAATAAATTATTTAATGGATGGTGAACTTTTATAAAAACAAATATTAAGTTCTGGTTCTTGATTGGAGTGATTTGTTAGTGCATTGTAGAGGGAGAATTATTGGGGGCAATAGTACTTTCTACCTAACTTTTGTGTATGGTCATAATAATACACAAGATAGAAAGTGACTTTGGTCTCATTTGGAAAAGATTGCTGCTAATATTAAATCAGGATGGGGTATAGATGGTGACTTCAGATCTATCCTCTGCTTGAAAGATAGAACTTGAGGTAATAATCTTACTGAAGAAGAAACAAAAGACTTCAAAGAATGAATGCTAGCCTGTGAGATGGAAGAAATACCATGTGAAGGTAGCTACTATACTTGGAGTAATAAGTAGGGGCCTGGTAATAGAATATATTCTAGACTGGATAGAGCCCTTTCAAACATGGAGTGGATTATTCAATTTAGATACAAACTCCAGATTATTGAAGAAGGTATCTTAGATCATTGCATTCTTTTACTGCGAACTCATGCCCTGGATTGGAGAAATATCGGGTTTAAAAGCTCAATATTAAAAAGCTCGGGGCCTGATGGATATAACATTAACTTTTATAAAAGGAACTCGAACATTGTAGTGGATATGGTGGTTAAGGCTATTGAGGAATTCTTTCTGAAAGGGGAGTTTCCTAGACAACTCAATGCTAGAAATGTTATTTATATACCTAAGGTTGTTAATCCTGTTTCACTTGCCGATTTTAGACTTATAGCTTGTTGCAATGTTCTTTACAAAATTATATCTAAGATCCTCAGCCACAAAATGAAGAAGGTGTTATTAAGAATTATAAATCTCAACCAAAAAAGTTTTGTTGAAGGGAGATTGTTGGTTCATAATGTCTTACTCTGTCAAGAGCTTGCTAAAGGCTATAATTGGGAATGTGAAGAATCTCTAAAAGGGAATGTGAAGCTTTGGTCCATAAGCGAACAACTAAGATCATAATGTGGGTAGCTAAAAATCTCTCCTATGCAGGGAAGCTGATTAACACTGTTCTGATATGGGTTATATCTTTCTAGTGTAGACTTTTCATCATACCTAATAAGGTGATGTAAAAAATATAAAGTATATGCAAAAAAATTTTATGAGGCTCAGTGCAAATTATAGCAAAGTTCCTGCTATTTGTTGGAAAGATGTTTGTTAGAATGTTAGGGGATTAGGTCTAAAAAACCTTTCCTACTCGAATCAAGCATGCAATCAGGAGCTTATTTGGGACATTGTGAATAAAAGAATATCCTTTGGGTTAAATGGATTCATAACAAGTATCTTAAACATGATATTATTTAGAATATTCAACCTAAGGTTAGCCTTTGCTATTATTTAAGAAAAATCTTGAACAACAGAAGGTTATTTGCATGTATGAATACTAATGAAATGTATAATACCTATAAAGAATACGAATGGCTAATGGGTCCATCCAACACTTTTCATGCCTATCAGATAGTGTGATATAAGCTTACCATTCCTAAACACCAATTCTTTCAATGTCTTGGATGGAAGAATATAATCTTTTCCAGAATCAGATTGAACAAGTTCATGGAAATTGATACTAAGGGCTTGTTCTTTAGGACTGGAAATTGATACAAAGAGTTGGATGTTGGAAGAAACTGGAAGGAACTGGAAGGAACTAGAGGAACTGGAAAAAATTGGAAGAAAGTGGAAGGAACTGGAAGAAACTGGAAGGAACTAGAGGAACTGAAAAAAATTGGAAGAAAGTGGAAGGAACTGGAAAAAACTGGAACAAACTGGAAAAACTGATAAAAATTAAAAGAAACTAAAAAAACTAGAAAATTGAAAAATCTAAAAACAGTTTTTAAAAAAATATGTGTGGTTTTATATTATTTTCATTCTGATTCTTGTTGTTATAAATTATTATTATTGTTGTTGTTGTTGTTGTTGTTGTTGTTGGTGGTGGTGGTAGTAATGGTGTTATCACGTTATTTTAATAATTGTCTTTAAGATAAAAAAAATATTACAAGTATTATTTTTCATATATAAAAAGCTAGTTTAAAAAAATATTTAGAATATAAAATTAGCATAAATATAACACTTCTTGGGTCATTTTTTCTTTTTCAAAATGTAGTTTTCTCTTGGTTTTCATAATGTAGTACTCCCCACCTCATTCCATACTTTATATTTTAGATTAAAATATTGATGTTTACCTTATATAAATTTAGATTAAAAAATATTCTATATAACTATTTATCCATAATTTTTAAAATAGTTTCCTAATTTTTCATGTAGATTAATATACAAAAAAACGATATCATTCATATTAAAAAGTTGAAGTAAAAATAATAATGAATGTGAATCATAAAAATAGTGAGATGAAAAAACGAAATAATTTATAAAATATAGTTATGAATATAAAAGTTGTAATTAAAAAAAGTTGTAATAATAATAATAATATATCTTTAGAGTGATTTGTCAGAAAGTAGAAAAAATTTGAAGAAAATAAATATAGTTGGAAGAAATTAGAAGAAACTAGAAAAAACTTGAAAAAACTGGAAGAAACTAGAAGAAACTGGAAGAAACTAGAAAAAAATGGAAGAAACCGGAAAAAACTGGAAGAACTGGAAAGAGTTGAAAGAAACTGAAAGAAACTGGAAGTTAAGAGTTCAAGCTCTAAAGAACAGACCCTAAATGTGTGCTTTGCTCTACTAGTGATGAAGACAAAGATCATTTGTTCTATTTCTCTAAACTAAGGATATTTGGGACATTGCAAAGAATGGATTAAATTTCACATGAGAATGAGAGTGTTTATTAATTCTGTGCATTTGTTTCCAATAGACATTTTAGATAATTTAATTGGAGGCCCACACAGTGTGTGCGGCCCAAGTAGACAAGAGGTTCCTTTCCGATTGAAAAAAAAAACCCTTAATTACTCACTAACAGCCGGTGGAACCAGGACTTCACCGAGTTTTAATTTTCGCCGGCGAGCGAATCTCTTCGTTTTGTCCCTCTAATTCAGCCGGCGGCAGGGGTGAAAGCGCGGCGATATCCATAGATGTCTTCCTTCAAGAATGCTATTCCGAGGAGAGCTCACAAGGAACGTGCTCAGCCGTAAGTTACCGCTCTTCGTTGTATTGATTGGTGTTCATTCGTTTTGAATTAGCTCCTTAAAATCCGTCCTGGTGTTCCTTTGGACCGGAATTATGGCAGAGCTTCGAGGAAGAAGTTTGGGCTGCTGGAGAAGAAAAAGGACTATGTTAAGCGCGCACAAGCTTACCACAAAAAGGAAGAAACTTTACAGGCAAGTTGAATGATTTTTCAGTTCATTTTTTAGGGTTTCTTTGAATTTGTGTTGGATCCATGGCCTAGATCGTAGCTACGTATATATATATGGATGTTAGTGTAGCTAGACTAATTGGACTGAGATTTCTATGGCTTTAGACCGTGCCTGAAACATAAATGTTTGCACTCATTGATGGGCATTTATTCAAGTTAACATTATTGCGAATCTCTCAGTCACATCTATGAACATGAAAGTTGCACCTAACAAAACAAACTAAAGTGTAGAAGTCTCAAAGATGTGTTTTCTGTAACTTTTAAAAAAATGCAGAAGCGCTAAAGCTTCGAATGGAGTTTATAGAGGCATTTGGATTACTTGGTACGGAGTATTTGTTTATGGTGTTGGGTTATTAATTGATTCACTTAGAATTTTAGACTTTCCAACTGTATTACATGCCCGGATTTCACAGCTGCTGGCGGAGCACTTCAAGGCACTAATGCAGTGATGGTTAGCAAGATGAATTTTTTTTATTTCTGGCTCATGGGATATAAGAGTGTATCTATCCAAGTGCGGATTATCCGATTATGTCTATAACCGTTTTGTTTGTGAAATACCAAGGTTCTTTTGTCCACTACTAGAAATCAGGTCTCGAGAATAACATTTGATAAAAAGAGATGAAGAGGACAGTAATCGCAATTATAAAATTTAGAAAAAGGATTACAAATAAAATGCTGTATCCTCTAATGCATATGGAATGAGGTGCCAGGAAAAACATCTATATGTCATCCCTTTTTCTTCCTTTTTGATTATTTCTATTTGCAATTAAAGGTCTTGTTTTTTTTGTTACAGAAACTCAAGGAAAAGGCTGCATTTCGGAATCCAGATGAATTTTACTTTGGAATGATTACAGCAAAAACTGTTGATGGAGTGCATAAACCAGCGTAAGATATAAATCATGATTGTTTATTTCTAGCTACACTTGTATCTTCTGTTGCTAGTAATACGTTCCACAGTTTTCAAAACCGAACTATTGGTTCCACGGTCGGACCGGTGGTTCAAGCTGATTTGAAAATTTGCGTGTGTATGTCTGTACATCTTAAGTGCAATGTATAATGTCACATGTTCAACTTTTATTTTTCAAAATTTTAAACGAGTACTTTTTAAAATTTTGAAAAAGTACTTGAACGAGTACTTTTTTAAAAATTGCATCACTTAAAGTTTTATGTTTGTCAATACACAATTATAAACACTCTGGAGTAATATTTTAGTAAAGTTTACGCAATTCATACGATTATTATCAAAGTTTGTATTGATTGAGATGAATCTCACAGCTTCTCAACATAATGTTCTTTACAAATAAATAAAAGAGATGAGCTACTGAGAGCGTGAATAGTATAGAACAAAAATCACAATATTACCACTTTGATGTGACATGTCTTGTTTTACACTTTGAAGGAGTGAAGTGAATAAATATACCAATGAAGAACTAATGCTGATGAAAACTCAAGACATCAATTATATAATGCAAAAACTTCAGACTGAGAAGAAGGTTATTTGCCTACTTGCCTTTCTTTTTCTATTTTCCTTGAGCATTTATTACTCATGCATGTGAACTGATGTAAATAGTATTGTTTTTAATGCAGAAAACTGAAAAGCTTACTGCAGTGCTACACTCTCTTGGTAATCAACCATCAAATAAACGTGTCTATTATGCCGAAGACAGGTTCATACTATGAGCTCTTTTAAACCCTTGATTTCCGTTACTGGAATTTATCTTTTTCTTTATTGAGCAAAATGTTCATATGATCATACGACAACAAATGAACTATTGAGGTTGATAGGAGGTGAAGTAGTTATGCCAAAATGTGAAACAACATTCATGTATAAATGGCCCTTTATATACCAATGGCTAATGACCTGCGCACATACTTCCAGAGAGGAGGCTGAAGCAATTAAATCAAGAGTATCAGAACATCTTAACATGCCAATCCTCAATAAGTTGCCTTGCAGCATTGAAAGGTAAAGATCAATTTCTACATTTTTTTCTCTTGAAATGTCAATTTTAAAAACATGCCTTAAGATCTTAAGTTTCCCATTATGCGGAGTAATCACATATCTTCTAGCTCTCTAGTCATTTACTTTTCTTGACCGTATTGCTTTTGTGCTCTTAAATATGGAGTTGTTAACCTCTGACATGAGACAATTGCTATACAACGATACTAGTCAATCATATGGGTCCCAAGATATAAGGTTGTGGATGATGGGTGGGATGCACACTGCTCTTGCTAGTAAAAAAAAAATACTCGGGAAAATGATGTGATACCTAAATTTCAAATACTGCGTATCATATTGCCTCATATACTTTGATTTAAAACAAGAGGTAAGTTACTAAAAAAAATCAATTTGAAGAGGGAATTAAATCAAGAGGCTGAAGCAATTAAATCATATACAAAACTTGGAAACACTTCCGCATTACAGTTTTCTTGCATGTGATAAGTGGTGAGACGAGGTATTATCCTTTTATGATTTTATCTTCCATGAAGTACCATGATTATAGATTGATTTACTGTAGAACCTTTGTTTATTGCGGAGCATATAGAATTTGGTATTGCTAATTTGCTTGACAATTTGAGTTGCTTCATTTAAAAGTAGTGATATGAGAAATAATGGAAATATGTACTTATATTATCAAGGGTAAGCCTTGGGAGTCTCTCGTGTAGTTCTAGTTTCAAACTTTCCCATGACGGGATATTCCAAGCTATGGTTTGTACTCCCTCTGTCAAGAAATAAATGTCCTTGTTGGACTTTCATGGTTTAAGAAAAAATAAAGTTGTATGATGGAGGTTTATGAAGAGAAGTGAGAATTTTTGTGAACCACTCTTTTTTTCTTTAAATGGAATGTGACATTTAGGGGGTGTTTCCCTGTGTTGGTGCTTATTAGCATATTGTGATAAGTATTTTTTTTAACTTATAAGCTGTTTATAAGTCAAATATTCTTTTCTGGAAGTAAAATGACTTGCAGACAAATCGGTGATCCAGGGGGCTGGGGTGAGGTAGAATCTTTCAATTTTACAAACAAATCCCCGTAGATGCTCCCATTGTAGTTGTCATATATGTTATGGTTTATTGCCAAAAGAAAGGGGCTCTCATTTCCAGTTCAGTTATGTACTTTTTCAACTCTTTTCACTTCAAAAGAACATGCCCCAAGTCTCTGCTTCTTTTCATAGTTTGGCATGCATTACTTTAGGTTCTGGTTGCAGAAGTTATTATGCCATTTTAAACTCTCTTTTGCTTCATTATGCATCTTCTTTCAGGAAGTTAGCTTCATCCTATAAAGAGCTTGAGGCGAGAACCAAAAGAGTGAAGACTTTAGAGAGACTATATATGGATATGGCCATGCAGAAAGAATTGCAGGTCTCTTTTATTCTCTTATATACTCTTAGTTTTTTTGTTAACATTGTTTGAATAATAGTTCAAAGAGCTTAAGAGTATCAATTGTTTTGCTTCACTAGAAAAACGGAAGAAAGCGCAAACTTCGTGCGGATGAGATCGTCACTCCAACCGAGAAGCCGGTGTTCAAGTGGCGACGAGAAAGGAAACGTTGAGCCCCACCACCCCCACCCACCAAATTGGATCGAGGAAAACGAAAATCTTTTTTGAAATTGGCACTTGATGGAATGTTTGTATGTTTGTTTGTTTTCTCTTATGTAGATGGCCATATTGTGAGAAGTTTGTGACAAATTGACAATTAACGGGAAGTGGGTCACATGATTACAATTGTTCTCAGCTTGTTCTCACACGATTCAAAATTCATTTTTAAAGTCCCTGTAGTTTCAAGATGCTGCACCCGTACCATCTCTGATCATTTTCCGGCCATTTTTCCGGCGAGGAGGGGGGTATTGGTGCATGTTTTTTAAACCATAGGGGGCATATTTCTAGCATATTTTTTGTTTTTTCCATTTTTTTCAATTTTTTCCTTTTTTATTTCATTTATTAATAAAGATTTTTTCATAATGTTTCTTAAAATTTAAAGTTACTTTTGTTAGAAAAAATTAAGATATAATGCATATGTACGTCTCAAATTAACAATTTTTGTTTTTTTTGAAAAAAAGTAAATTTTTTTTGAGACTTCAAGAAATGAGGAATAAAATAAGAAACAAAATAATACAAAAATAAAAATGAATATCCTTTTTGGACATTTTAATTCTAAGGACTTTTTTAGGGTGTCTAATTTTTTTTGTATAAGACTTCTTTTGCATATTTTAATTTTTTTCATTTCGTTTTTCCATATTTTTATTTTTTTATTCTGGGTTTTCTTTGACCTTTTCAAAAAATTATTCTAAGTAACAGAAGGTGAAAATGTTTAATTTGATATAGATTTAATGTATGTTAATTTTTTTATTTTTATTTTTATTTTAAACACAAATTTTAAAATTTTTGAAACGTTATAAAAAATTAAAAATATATTTTTAAAAAAATCTAGGAAAAGGAAAAAGAGATAGAAGATATTTTAAAAAATGGAAGAATAATAAACGAAAATAAAAAATGAGCATGAATGCCCCCCGTGGTTTAGAAATTATGCGCCAATGCCCCCCCCCCTTCGCCGAAAAATGGCCGGAAAATGATCGGAGGGGGTGTGGGTGCAACGTTCTGAAACCACGAGGATTTTAGAAATAAATTTTAAAAATAGAGGGGTTATTGGTGCCAATTTTCTAAACCACATGGGGCATGGAAGCTATTTGGCCTATAGAATTGTTGGAGTATTAATATGCATCGATATTGACAATCGTTTTGACGTCCTGGAAAGGCAATGGGTATTAGATGGATTAAAGATTTTTATATTTGAATGCTTACGAACTATAAATAGACATAAGCCAAAGATTTTAGAATAAAACTAGGGGTAATCAAAATGGAGTACCCTATTTGTACACCAGGCAAGCACAGACAATTAGTATTTGTAATCACAAGCACTAAGTGTTTGTGTTTGCATGGGGTACCCCATTTTAATATACCCCTAGCATGACTCAAGATTTTATGGTCTAGCGTCATCGTTGAGTTTTCCCAAATGAATATTTAGATAGTTACAAAGGTGATCCCACTGTAATCGAGTTAATTGGGGTGCTTCTTTTGACAACAATTATTATTGTCACTTTATGATAATAATGACTTACGGTGTTCTGTTTAAAAATTGTATGGTTCTTACTCTTCCTATCTCCCCTAGACCTCCCTGCCTCTCTTTCTCCACCCCCACCCCCACCCCAACAGCCCCTCTGCCCAAAATGTAAGGATGATAATCTAAACCAAATTCAACTTTTATTGACCCGACTGAATCTTGGAATATTTGAACCCAAATTCAGAAAAAAGTTATTCAAATCTAAATCTAGAAAATGAAACTTGAACTAAGAACATATTTTCTTCACCTTATTTTGATTATTTTAATAAGACAAAAAAGATTGTTTCTGTCATTGATGTGTATATTAGTAATTAGGTAGATTAAGAGTTACAGAGCATTTAAATGTAGGGATGATAATCTAAACCAAATTCAACTTTAACTAACCCAACTGAATCTATTGGAACCCAAACTCAGAAAATATTATTCAAATCTGAATCCAAAAAATGAAACTTGAACTAAGAGTATGTTTTTTCAACCTATTCTTGTTAATTACTCCCTCTCACCTAATGTAAATAGTCTATTTCGGTTCACGATGTTTTACTGAAATTATTTTCAAATTATTTTATATTAAAAATGGTGTATAATTAAAAAATAAAAATTAAATATTTAAAAATACTATCAAAAGATCTACAGATCACTAGTGACACGACTATATTATTTTATCAAATGAAAAACGAAGATAGAAAGAAATTTGATCATGTGAATAGTAAGGATTACTTATTCTTACTTAAATCAGTTCAAATCATATCAGGAATAATTTTAAATATAACTAAATTCAGATTAGATCATATCAGACTAAATCATATCAAAATCATTTAGATCAGGTGAAGGGAACAATTCCAAAGTCGGGCCTGGTTTCGATTATAAAATTTATACCTAAATTTGACAACGCATAGTAATTTTTTAGTGTAAAAAAGAATATGGAATAACGAGGAAACGTTAATAAAAACTACTCGATGCTCGATATTAGTGCTATGTATGAATTCTATTAAAATACACTTTAGTAAATTAATTATTCTATACAAAATCAAATTCAAACAAGTGAAAACATTTCAAATTCTTTGAAATAAACTTATACTTATCCGTCCCGAAAATAATTACACTCTTTACTATTCAAAAATTATGAAAATTTTTATTTAATTGTGCGTTTTTGATTGATTATTTAATAAAATAAAGTATTTTTGTTATCTTTTATTTTGTAGAATTTTTGACATAATTTTTAAATATGAGGATTTTATTTTCAATTTATATATTAATTTTTAAATAAAATGAATTTAAAAAATTAAAATTTTGTTTTGTTTTATGCAAAGTGTAAAACATTTTGAAACAAAAGAAGTATTTCTTAAATATTTTTATTTCTTATTCTAAAAGAACAATAAAAATTTTAAGATTTTTGATATTTACTTAGTAAATGGTAAGACAATTCATCTCAAATCCGATCATAATTGACCGAACTTTAAAAAATCCAATCACAACAAAATATCTAAACCGAAAATCCATCAAAATCAAACCCAACCGGCATTGGGATCCGTAAAAAAACCGGAATCGAACCCAACCGGTAATGGGATCCGTGCGGACGGCCATGGCCGCCGAAGTCGCCATGATTGGGTTTGTTACACCGCCGGCGGTGCCAGCCTCACTCCTTTTCGCCGCCGAGATTCTTCCCTATCTATGTGCTCAGTAATACCTGCGGCAGTATCAATATATTTCTCTCTATTGCCCAGCTCATCTGCAACGCCGCCTGGTTTGCTCAGCTCATCTTCTCCTTCTTCATCTTCCTTCACTTGACCTAGAAGAACAGAACAGAAATTTATGAATAAGATATGCTTTTAATGGTTTCTATTTATTTTAGAAAATGTAGGGCTCCCCACATAATCGATGCTTCCCTCTTTCCCCTTGCTTAATAGGGTAAACTGAAGCAATTCCATTGTTTTTTTACTGTAATTCTCGATTTGTCTATGCAGCTTTACTTCTTTAAAAGGACGTTCTAATTGATTTCTGCAATGTGTTGCCTCCGGGACAAAATTGTTCTGGAGAAGGATGCAAAGGCAACTGAGGAATTGTGTTCTTAGACCCCCCACAAAATTATTACCCTGTCTTCATTTCAATAGGTTGCTGGGATTCCTTGTTTCTTGCAAGTCTTCTGCCCTAAGTTCATTTTTTCATACACAAAAGAATCCGCATTTACTTCAATTTCCCTACGTTCACGATTCTCGCGAGGGCCTTCGAACCCTCAAGCAAGTTCATGCATCTTTAATCGTTTCGTATGGCCATAGACTCAGTGCTGGTGCTGTTTCATTGCTGGCGCCTTTGTACGCAAAGTTTTATGAAATTCACCATGCTGTTTTGCTTCTCAGTTCTTTACAAGAACCTTGTACACATCACTGGAACAGGGTGTTGAAGTCCTGTGTTGATCTGGGTCTTGTTGAATCCGCATTTTGTGTTTATAAGCGAATGAGAGAAGATGGAATCTCGCACGATAATTACACTCTTCCAATAGTGAACAGGGCTGTGGCATTGAGTTATGGTAGTAATTGGTACGGGAAATCAATTCATGGTTTGTCTTTTAAAATCAGCTTTGATTTGGATGTGTATTTCTGCAACACGTTGATTGAGAGTTATACAAAGAGCGGGGGTCTTGTTGACGCTTTTAAGGTGTTTGAAGGGATGCCTCAAAGAGATATGGTTTCTTGGACTTCAATAATTTCTGGGTTGGTGTCTCAAGGTGCTGGTTTTGAAGCATTTAGATTGTTCAGGGAGATGAAAAAAGAGATCCCTCCTAATTCAGTGACAATAATAGTGGTCTTGAAAGCATGTTCAAGATTGCTTGAATGTACGCAAATCCATTGTTACGTGATAAAAAATGGGCTCTTGATTGACATGTCAATTAAGAATTCCATTATGAAGTGTTATTCTAACGTTTTTAGTGTGAATGAAGCAGAGGCTCTTTTTACTGAACTTGAGAATGCAGATGTTGTTTCTTGGAACATTATAATTTCCTTGTATTCTTTGACAGGCGAGGTTGAAAAAATGATATATTGTTTTGGTAAAATGCTGGCTGAGGTAGAACCCAGTGTTGAGACCTTAACCACATTGGTTTCCGGGCTTTCAAGTGGTGGGCATCTTGCCCAAGGAAGCCAAATACATTGCCTTTCTCTAAAAACTGGACTGTTGGATGATATCTTGAAGAGTTCATTATTGAACTTTTATGCAAAGTGTAATGACGTGGAGAGATCAACCAGGTTGTTTGGTGAAATAGTTTGGAAAAACAGTGTGGTTTGGGGTGCTATGATGAATGGATTAATCGAAAACGGGCATTTTAAAGAGGCTGTGGAAGTATTCCTCAAAATGTTAGCTTCTGGCCACAAACCAGTTTTCGAGAACCTCAAGAACCTTGTCATTGCCTATACAAACATGGGCGCTCTGCAGCTTGGAAAAGGGGTTCACGGATACCTTATAAGGAACATGTTTTTCTATACGTCTGATGCAGCAGACAATTCTCTAAAGACCTCAATTTTGAACATGTACATAAAATGTGGAAACATCTCCACTGCAAGAATTTGTTTTGATAGAATGGTATCCCCCAGAGACATCGTCGCATGGACATCCATGATTGAGGGCTATGGGACCCACGGACTAGGCTCCGAAGCAGTCCGCTTGTTCCACGACATGTCAAAGGAAGGAACCAAGCCAAACGGTGTGACTTTTCTTAGCCTACTGTCTGCTTGCAGTCACTCTGGCCTTCTGGTTGAAGGTGTTGAAATCTTCCACTCTATGAAAACAAAGTTCGGAGTCGAACCAGATTTGAACCATTACACTTGCATCGTTGATCTACTGGGACGGGGGGGCAAGGTCAAAGAGGCCTTAACCATGGTTATGAAACTGGTGGTTTCACCAGACAGCAGGGTTTGGGGAGCTCTTCTTTCTGCTGCTTCCCGAACCGACAACTATAAGAAAGTTGCAGAGTATGCTTGTGAAAGGATTGTGGGATTGGAACCAGATAACGCCGGATACTACACTCTGTACAGCAATGTTCAAGCAAGTTCTGAAAGATGGGATGAAGTTGAATGCATAAGAAGTTTTATAAAACACAAGTTCTCAGTAAAGAAACCTGGATGGAGCTGCATAGAAGCTGGAGGTATGCTTCATGGTTTTATTTCAGGTGATAGATCACATCCCCAGATTAGGGAAATACATCAAGTTTTGATTTCTTTTAGTAGAAAAATGGTTTAACTAACCAGTAGAAATTTCTTTACTAGAAGATATTAGTGTTGGTTCCAATGCTTTGCTTTTCAAATCCGAGTGAATAATGAGTCTTTTTTACTCATAATTATTTAGACTATACCTATTCAAAAGTACAGTATAACTGAGATTTTTTTATTAAATACGGACCACTACTAAATTAAAAATACGGCTCGGTTCCCTTGTCACTTTGCAACGGTGCCACTGGATGCTTTTGGTTCTCCGATCGCAAAATTGATGATTTCTACATTGACTACCCCCGCCCTGTCTCGGCCGAATCCGAAGTTACCCCTATCCCCGTCAATTAGACCCCCCAATTTTGGAGTCAAATTTTGTGGGAGTGGGGGTTGTGGGAGTCAAAATCAACTAAACTTTGTGGGGGTGGAGGGGGGGTTCTAATTGATGGGGAGTGAGGGTTGTGATCTAGTCAAGCTGGCGTGGAGGGTTTACCAGAGAGTTAAGGAAGTAGGAATTATCAATTTTACAAATAGATCACTAGAGGTGCTCCAAAAAGTCAGTAGCATTGGAATGACACCCTTGCCAGTGGCAAGGGAACCGAGCTGTTAAAATAAAATGATAGTTGATAGACTATTTCTTTTGGTAGTGTTCAAAAAAGAGCGTAACAAAGTAGGGATGGTAAGATTTGAACATGTGACGTTTTGTACAAAAAAATAAAAGTGCTACCAAGGTGCACTATGATGTTGATGGTTAGATGTCATCATACCTAAAAGAATATACTCCTTCGGTCCCTAAAAATCCTTGTTGTATTGATTTTTATGGATTTAATGATATTGTATTTTGATATTAATTTTCTAAAAATATCTTTTGATGTGATGGATAAAACTACGATGTGATGAGTAAATTAATATTGGAAATATATAATATGATAGGTAGAGTAAGAATTAATATTGATGAAAGTGACTTCTTAATAAAAAGTGAAAAGGTTTTTTCAGAGACAGATGAAAAGCGAAAGAGGAAAAGGAAATCTTGTTTTTCTTTTCTATAGGAGAATGAACAGATCCAAAGCAAAAAAATGTTGAACTGAATTGTCCCTTCATATGTTTGGCTACTAATGTTCTTTCTTACATTTGCACATGTCTACTTATGTTCTTTCTTGGGCATTTCAATCATTTATACTCTCACCCTTTTTTGATATGTAGAAAAGCTCTTGTTTCTTGAAATAGAGCCCAGCTTGATGTTTTCCATGGTTGAGTAACTTTATTTACACTCTCTTGTGGTTCAAGGAATTTAGAATGAAAATAAAGGAAAATGTGTTTCACTCATTTTTTCATCAAAATGAGAGAAATTTTTGTTTTATATCCTCTTAATAGATTTTGTTTTCTCGCTTTTTTTTCATCCCACCTTCCTTTTTGTTCTCTAACAAATCAAGAAAAAATATTTTTTTCTTATTTCTTTTTTCAAATTCTTTGAACAAAACATAGTGTTAGACAAAAAAAATGAACGAAACATACACTTGCAGTGAAATTGGAAATAAAATCTTGTTTGACATTTTTCTTAAAAATACCCCCCGTAGTTTATACTCCATTTGTTTCAATACTTTACGTATTTTTGTTTGACTCACTATTTTTTTTGTTTCAAATCATATTTAGTAATACTCGGTATTTGAAAGTTACTTACACTTGTTCTTACTTTTACTGTTTGTACTTTTTAACATGAATATCAACTACACAATTATTTATTTTCAAATTTGCATGTCCCTAACTCATGTCGTAAAAATGTGGGACAAAGTGAACAACATTTATTTTGAAAGGAAAATTTGACCCCAAAAATCCAATGTTAGCTCGAACAAGTTGTCTTATGTGGGCTAGCTAATGGTATACGTTGGTATGTGAGCTAATTGATAATTTTCCGTTAAAAAAGCTTGATGTGACATGTTTTTTTTTACTGATTATACAAAAGAATAAAACCACTACAATATACTCCCTTCGTTCCTAAATAAACTTCTCTTTTTGATTTTTTGAGAATTTAAGGGGGAGATATTTTTGTGTTGACTTTCCAAAAATACCCTTAATGTGATGTGTAAAGGTAAGATGTGATATGTAGATTATTAGTAAAAAGGTATGATGTGATAAGTAGTGTATGAAAAAGTAAGGGGTAAAAGGGTTTTTTAAGAGAAAAGAGAAATTTATTTGGGGACAAAGAAAAAACGAAAAGAGAAGTTTATTTAGGAACGAAGGGAGTATAAAAAATCATTCAATCAAAAGTGTAAGAACCAAGTTCAGATGAAAAAAATAATTCTTCTTTGTCGGTGTTTAAGAGTTTCGGTGTTACAAATTTGGATTTACGGTGTTATTATATATTCGTTATATGTAAATTTATTTGTTATACATAGTCTATTTCGCACATATATTTTTATAATAATTATTGAAATAAGAATAATATAAAAATTGTATGTAAATGATTTTTATGTAATTGTTAGAAAAAACTAGAAGGAATTAGAATGAACCGGAAAAAAAAAGAATTAAAAACGTTAGAAAAATATGTGATGAGTTGGAAAAAACGGGAAAAAATTTAGAAGAAATCAGAAAAAATTTAATAATTTTGAAGGTTAAGAATTAAAATTTACAAATGCATAAAATAATACCCCCCCCNCCCCCCCCCCCCCCGTCCCAAAATATCTACAAAACAAATCATTTTTATACGAAATTGGTTTTAGTAATGTACGGTAGTAGTTTAATGATTATTTACTCCCTTCGTCTCAATTTATAGTGCTTGTTTCGGTTTACGATGTTTGATTGAAATATTTTTTAAATCATTTTATATGACAAATGATATAGACTTAAAAAATAAAAATTACATGTTAAAATACTACATCAAAAGATCTACAAAATTAGTAGTGACAATAATACTTTATTTTTATCAAATTGTTAACGAATATAGAGAAAGAAAGTGAATGAAATTGGACTCTGTGAATAGTGAACATGCACTATAAATTGGGACGGAGAAAGTATAACATGAAAAAAACAATTACTTTTTCTTTAGTTCATTCTTTTGCATAAGTAGAGAAAAATATAAATCATGTGAAATCAGTAATTTCAAATTCAAAATTAACATCCTTAGTTTTGGATCATTTTCGTTATTCTTTTGATATATAAGATGCTATGTACAACTTTTTTTGGTTGAGACATCCTTAGATTTTTTATAGGGAAATTTACGTAAATAGCACTAAAACATAATGACTTTTCACAAATAGCATCACATGTGTTTTTTCCCCAATCTAGCACTTTTAGTCATTATTCAAGTAAATATCGTCATCACTGGACATTATGTACATTATTAAGTGTTATTTAGGGAATAAAACAATTTAAGTACTATTTAGAGAAATGACTTAAGTTTTAGTATTATTTAGTACAAATATTTCTTTTTTATGTCCATTTTTCTTTCAATTAAGATTCATAAAAAATATTGACTCATTTGTCCCCCCCCCCCTATATAGGAGGGATTGAGTGTGTAGTTTCATTCCTCATTTCCTCCCTTTTACACATCATCCAAGCAAAGTGTTCGTCTCTTCCCTGGATCAATTAATTCTGATCTGATCGGAATAAATCTTGATCTGATCTGATTTGGTTACAGTTATATTTAAAAAAAATTATTTTCTAATTTGATTTTAGTCCAATAAAAATAAGTACTCATTCTGTCCCAAAATGATTTACTTCTTTACAGTTACGGTCTCTCGATAACTTTTGTTGATTTTTTTGTTTTTATTTATGACAAAGAGTAGAGCATGCACCTAGTACTTGCAGAGACTCTATGTTTAGAGTAAATTTCTCCCACTATAATTGGGAAGAAACAAGAACAGGTCTTACGGTCTTACCCCTTAATACTCTTGTCTTTGCCAACAGCGCAACATGCCAACATCACCGGCACCATAAATTCTAAACAAGATCATACAAAAGGGAGTTCACCAGCTTAATTGGGGGAACTCAACTGAAAAAAATTAAATTAATGGAGCCAGCGTTGATATGACAAAACAACCCCACGCTTGTCGCCATTTTCATTAGTGTCGTCCCTCTTCAAAATTTATTCTTTCCCCTCTTCATTACTTTAATTTTTAGATATGCTAATTTCTACTCGACTCTTTGGATGAATAACTTGGATGATTGACGGATGGCATAACGCCCCGGGTGTTATTGCCCCTTTAAACGCCAAAGGAGCAGCAAATACCGCCCTCTTGGGGCTTCATACGGGTTTCGTTCCTTGTGATTCAAAACTTTAACGTGTTTCAAATCTTTATATTCTCTCTCTTTAAAAAAACATACACAAACATAATTTTTCTACTCTATATTTTGTTGCTTAATGTAATATTTTATTGTTTAATTTTTTTTAGTAATGTAATTTTTTTTGTTTAATTTTTTTTAGTAATGTAATTTTTTTTGTTTAATTTTTTTTAGTAATGTAATTTTTTTGTTTTTTTTAATTTAACATACTTTTTTTATTGACTGTATTTTTTATTTAATGAATTATTTCGGTTTGCAATATGTTACTACAACTCGGATTTGAATAAAGCTATTTTTAGTCTCTCGAATAATTAGTAATTTCTTTGTAGTGTTGTTTTTTTATGGATGTAATATTTTGTTTAATGAATATAACTTTTTTATGAATGTATTCTTTTATGAATATAATCTTTTTTTAATGAATGTAATTTTTTTAATGCACTAGTCTCCTTTTGATTAATTTAAATAATAAATTAATTAAAATTTATTAATTTAAATTTGGAAGATGTATATTTAAAAATGTAAAAAATGAAGGTTTGAAGCCCCTGTTTGAAGCCTCGGAGCTTCAAACCCATTTCCACTGAACGAGTGGAGATCTTTCTCACCCGATCCATCACTCGTATCATTCATCCGGAGTAAATATTTTTTAAAACGTATACTCCCTCCGTCCCAAAAACGTATTCACCTTTTTTTCTTGTCTCACAAATTCCTTCCATTTTCTAATAAAAAAATTTCTTTTACCCCAACTAATTCTTAACCTAACTATCCATCACATCTTATTTTTACCTAACACATCAAGGATATTTTTAGAAAGTTACTACAAAAATATCCACCTCTTACATTTTTAA